ACACAGAATGTTAGAGGTATTGTGTGTAGTACTCACAATAGTTAAGTTAATAAAGGAGATCACATTTTCAGGAGTGTAAATTTACATTTAGTAAATTTACATGTGACATGTATTTCTTGAGTGAGGGACAATATTTCTTCTGCCATACAATATGTTGAACAACATTTTAAAACCCTATCCCTATGTGAAATGTGCAATCGACACCAATCAATGCATGTTAAATGATGGATGAAAAGAATACAGTCTCTGCGTTTTCAAAAAAAGGTAGTTCACTCAAAAACTCTTTCTTCTGTTGAACACCAAAAAAATTATTCTGAAGAATGTTGGAAAAACAGCCATTAACGTCCATAGAATTTTTGGCGATTTTTTCCAACATTCTTCAAAGTATCTTCTTTAAAGAATAGACGAAAATAACTTTAAAAATATGGAGAATAGGCAAGGGACGATAACTGTTTTTAAGGTATACCGCGGTTGGGGAAAAAGTCAAGGTTTTAAAACCACCACAATTTTCTGTAACACCGTTCCTAAGATAGGTGTAAGATTTTTTATTTACATTTTGTTTAGGACAACAGTATCTGCATCAGAAAAGATCTCCAAAGATGCCGTTTTAAATCATAAATAAATCTGTGTTTTTGAAACTAATGAAGACAGCCAAAGTCAATGATTTGTTTTAACTATTTAGTCTAACATCTTTACTGCTCCAAAATAAAATCTATTGTGTTGAAATGGGAAAAAAGTTTTAGTTTTTTTAGCCAGACATTTAAAAGGAACATATAGTAATCACAACACCATGATACTGTCATATTTTTATCCAAGGTTACCATCAGAATCCTATACCGGCCCATGCCTAATGGAGAACCATACAAACATCATTTGGCATGTCAAAGAATATTTCGTCCTCAGCCAGTATCGGACACCTTAAGGATTTCATACTGATATTGGGTTAAAAAAAATGGTCTCAATATGGACTCAAATGTTCCATAAGGATGCCCTTGATTCACTTGAACAATTAAGAATTGAGTTTTCACTCCCAAAATATGAATTTTTCAGACACTTACAACTCATTTCCTCACACACGTAATGATTTAGAACGAATTAAAAACCCTTCTACGATGGAAGAGTTTCTAAAAGATATACTAACTGGAGACCAATAAAATAATTTCTAAATGTTACTCAGTTAGGCATGGGACGATAACCATTTTCAAGGTATACCACAGTTTGGAAAAGTCAAGGTTTTAAAACCGTCGACATTTTCTGCTATTCCTTTCCTAGGGTATGTGTAAGATTTTTAATGACTTTTTTGTAGTTTTTTTTAGGTCAGCAGTATCTCCAGCAGAAAAGCTATCCAAATATGCCTTTTTAAATTTGTAAAATAAATCTGTTTTTGAAATAAATGAAGACTGCAGAAGTCAATGATTCATTTAAATTATTCAGTCTGACACATTCACTGCTCCAAAATATTTTAAATGTTTCCCAAAATAAAATATATTGAGTTAAAAAGGAGAAAAAAAAGTCTTATTATTATTATAAAAAGTTATTATACCATCAGAATCTTATACCCATGCCTATACTCAATATACTTATCTAAGAATACAAATAGCACATTACAGATAAAGGAGAAATGGGGGACTGAAATGAATAGAACAATTTCTCTGGAAACTTGGGAGGAAGTTTGCAGTGAAGTACATTTTGTGACCTATTCTAATATCTGGAGGGAATTCAGATGGAAGATTATTACTGGATGTTTCAGAACTCCACAAATAATTTCAAAATGGAACCCTTCCTGCTCTAACAAGTGCTGGAGAAATTGTGGACAGAATATTGGTAACCACACTCACATTCTGTGGTCGTGTCCTAAATTAAGTAACTATTGGGTAGAAGTATTGAATGCCCTAAAGGAAATCTTCCATTATGAATTTTCTGAAGATCCCACAGTTGCTCTGCTACAGTTGATGTTTTTTGTTCTGTTCATGAATTAACAACTATTTTGGTAGCTAGAAATTGATGGTCTAACATGCAAAAAAAAAAAAAAAAAAACTGTTACACTGTACTGTACTCCATGCAATGTTGTATTTTCTAATAAAAATAAGCTTAAAAAAGTATTTTGTGTTCAACAGAAGAAAGAAGTAAATAAATGTTTAAAAATCACTTGATTGTGGGTAAATGGTGACTTTTCTTTTTTTGTTCGTGCAACAAATAAGCATTTCTAAATAAATACAAAAAAAAACTATTGATAAAATAAAAGAAAATGGGCAAATAATATAGAAAATAAAAATTCAGGTCTTGATGGCTTCACAGTAATTGATGCATTCACACATACATGTTGTTTTCTGCATGTAAACATTCCTTTTTCTTCTGAGAAAGACACAAAAATCAATTATAATGCATTCAATCAGTTGAATTTGACGAATGAGTTTCCAATGTAACACAAATGATGCTTTCTCTCATGGCGCACACACAGCATCATTTCCAGAGAATGACAGAGTGGCCTCACTTGAAATTTCAGTGACATTTTGGTGGAGAAAAGCCCCATTTGTCCAGCTCAATAGCACTGAGATAAAGAACAACTCGAACAATAAGTCACTTTCAAAGCAGGCAGCTTGCTTTTGGATTTCACAGTAAGAAAGTGAAGCCAAAACATTTCAGTTATAGCCGGAATGATCATTTCAATAATAACTGCTGCAACCCAGTACTGGGAAACACCCATGCACACTCATTCACACACACACACACACACACACACACACACACACACACACACACACACACACACACACACACACACACACACACACACACACACTTTGGCCAATTTAGTTTATTCAATTCACCTATAGTGCATGTGTTTGGACTGTGGGAGACACAGTAGTAGAGATCTGCCCAGGACTAAATTTTGAATCCCGCTCCCGCCTGGTTTTAGCCCAAACCGTTCTCGCTAACGAGCGGGAGGGAGAACATAACCGAAAACCGCCCAGCTATACAGAGTCCAGACAGCCTATAACAAGCTGTCTGTATAAACACACACACACACACGTTCACCAAGCAACACACACACACACACACACACACACACACACACACACACACACACACACACACACACACACACACACACACACACACACAAACACACAAACACACAAACACACAAACACACAGCAACAAACAAGCTAAATGCAGCAAATTAAACTAGTTACCGACCGCTCCCAAGCTTTATTCGGAAATTAATGAAGACCTTTAGGACCACCTAGGAGGAAACCTTTGCCAACACAGGGAGAACATACAAACTCCACACAAAAAAGCCAACAGACCCTGCCGGGACCGGAATCCGCAAACTTCTTTGCTGTGAGGCGACAGTGCTAACCACGTCGCCCCTATTTTCGTATCATTGCATATATAATTAAAACACCTGAATAATGATTGCAAACCATAATCAGGAAAAAGATATATATATATATTATTTATTATAAAAAAAATTTTGTGTTGCTTAAATTCCTTTCGTTTACATGAAGAAGGCAGGATTGAAAAGCTTTTCAGCCACCAGGGGGCACTCAAAATGTTTTGGCTTCCCTTTTCAGGCACCACAATGAATTTGTGAGACCAAAAGCGACTTAAAGAGACCAAAAAAGATCATCAAAAAGTGTGTGAGGTAAAATGTTTCTCTTGATCTTTTATTTAAAGCAATGAAGCAAATCTCACTGCATCTCTAAATTATTCATTCATTCATTTTCCTTCAGCTTAGACCCTTTATTCATCAGGGGGAGCCACAGCGGAATGAATCGTCAATTTATCCGGCATATGTTTTACACAGCAGATGCCCTTCCAGCTGCAACCGAGTACTGGGAACCACCCATGCACACTTATTCACACACGCACACTCATACACGTTGGCCAATTTAGTGTTTTCAATTCCCCTATAGCGCATGTGTTTGGACTGTGGGGGAAACCTGAGCACCTGGAGGAAACCCACGCCAATACGGAGAGAACATGCAAACTCCACACAAAAATGCCAACTGACCCAGCCAAGACTTGAACCAGCGACCTTCTCGCGATGAGGAGACAGTGCTAACCACTGAGCAAGAACATTGGCCCTATATTTAGATATAACTAAGAATAATAAGTAGGCTTTTAATTATATATTCATTGTTACTCAAAACCCTTTCGTTTACATCAGGGGTCACCAATCCTGGTCCTGGAGGGCCGGTGTCCCTGCAGGGTTTAGCTCCATCTTGCCTCATCACACCTGCCTGCATGTTTAAAGTACACCTAATAATACCTTGATTAGCTTGTTCAGGTGTGTTTGATTAAGGTTGGAGCAAAAATCTGCAGGACACCGGCCCTCCAGGAACAAGTTTGGTGACCCCTGGTTTACATGAAGAAGTCAGGATTGAAAAGCTTTACTGTAGCCAGCCACCAGGGGGCACGCAAAATGTTTTGGCTTCACTTTTCAGGCACCACAATGAATTCGTGAAACCAAAAGAGCCCAAAAATGATCATCAAAAAGTGTGTGAGGTAAAATGTTTCTCTAGATCTTACTTTTATTTAAAGCAACGAAGCAAATCTCACTGCATCTATAAATTATTCATTCATTCATTTTCCTTCAGCTTAGACCCTTTATTTATCAGGAGGCGCCACAGCGGAATGAACCGGCAACTTATCCAGGATATGTTTTACACAGCGGATGCCCTTCCAGCTGCAACCCAGTATTGGAAAACACCCATGCACGCTTATTCACACACGCACACTCATGGCCAATTTAGTGTATTCAATTCACTTACAAAGCATGTGTTTGGACTGTGGGGGAAACCGGAGCACCTGAAGGAAACCCACACCAATACAGAGAGAGCATGCAAACTCCACACAGAAATGCCAACTGACCCAGCTGAGACTTGAACCAGCGACCTTTTTGCTGTAAGGCGATAGTGCTAACCACTGAACCACCATGTCACCTAAATATTATATTTTGAATAATTAAAAACTCAAAACCAGACATTGGCTAAACCTGAAGGAGCATTTATGAGTACTGTGTTGAGTATTATAATGAAAATAAAAGTCTTTAATACATGTCGTCAAATGATACCTGTTCTTTAAAATAGCTCAGTATATAAACGATGATCACACTATTAAACGTCTTCTGTAGATGATGGTGGTAATGCATGGGTAGTCGTCTTTCTTTTTCTTTTTTTTTGCTCAGAGAAGGTAAAGCTGTATTACGCCCTTATTTTGTAATGCATGAAAACCCCTTCCATCTTCGACCCAAAGAAAACACATTTCGTCTAAGGCCACCAGAACTGATTTTATGTCCGCGCAACGTTAGTTTTTCCACAATTTGATGCTAAATGCAGAGAAGAACCAAACTTACAGATGAATGTGCAAAAACAAACACACAAATATGATTAGTGAATGATCCAATCATGAACTTCCACGAGCACAAACCTGATCGCTTTTCTTCCAAAGCGCTGTGCAACACAATCAACGCCTGTCTCAGATCACAGCACGAGCACTTCCGCTTCCATCGTGTAGTGTTTTGGCACAATAAGAGCACTCAGTTGGTAAACGTAATGACACTCGCTCCTCAAACTAGATGCACTTCCTCCTCCCACTCCAAAGATAGACTGTTTACCTGCGGATCGGCGCTGCTTTCAGGACAAACAGTGAGATCTGAAGCCTCCGTTTTAGCATCTTCAACACACTCCGAAACCTCCCCCTCTTTACTCTCCATCTCAGCACTCTCCGCTTCAGTCTGCTCGGCTTTTGCAGGCTCTCCTAAAGCGTGCGTTTCATTGCCTGCATCAGAAGCGGATGAGGGAATCAGTGCAATGCTCTGCGGATTCATATCGTGGAACCAGGCCATGATGTTGCCCAGCAGGTTGGCATTGGTGGAGGGATCCAGACAGTCCGGGTCACTAGGGCTGAAGGCGGTGCCCAAGGCATCGGGGTAGGAGTTGATGTTAAAGGGTGTATAGCGGCTGCTGATGTCGCCTAGTCTCATAAGGCTGTCTCCCAGCTCCAGGAGCTCAGAGCTGCTCATTGACGCCCGCGGCGGATCTGAGGTCTGTGGGACACTGTCCAGTCTGGAGGGCAGAGAGGAGCCGCTGGCACCAACAGAGGCGTCGCTGTCCTGAGGCTCGGGGTCCAAGGCCAGCCCGGACTCCTGTAAGGACAGCTGAATCGCCAGTAAAATATTGGGGTCATCCTCATCTAGAGATCCAAGTGCCTGAGAAGGAGGTGGGGGGGATAAGAATGCAAATATTCTCAATGGACCCTTTTTACAAGACTGTTATGACGCATTTAACAATCATCAGCATCTTAAATCCGTTAACGTTTACAATATTTTGATTTTTTTTAAATGTATGAATATTAATTTTGTATTTATGTATGTGTTACAGCGGGGAAAGTAAGTATTGAACATGCTTTTTCCTGGAAATAGTATTTCTAAAGGAGCTGTTGACATGGAATTGAACTAGATTTTGCAGCTTAAAGACACCTTCCATATGGACAGTGTAAAAATCTTGATGGTTCTGTGGGTCTCGTGAGCTTTCATTAGTTTTTTCTATTGGATTGGAGTCAGGGGATTGGCTGGGACATTCTACTGCTAGATTTTCTTTCTCTGAAAGCATTTAAGAGTCTCCTTGGCTTGGTATTTTGAATCATTGTCTTGCTGAAATGTCCACCCTGGCTCCATGTTCTCTTGTCATTAATATTTAACTTTAACTCGTTAAACTCTGCTGTTATTTTGGGATTTTGCCAAACCAAATTTAAAAGCTTCCCAAATCCACATGCACAGGTGTAAATGCAAAAATTTGGTATAATTTTAAAGAAAACCCTTTGAATTTTTACAAAAACACTATAAAAAGTGTTTAAAATACCTGCATATGTTGTCTGTGTTATAATAAACATCTAAAAAAAGAGGCGCTTTTTGTATTTTTTTTTATAAACTCAAATTTGAAAGTGGACCTTTAAGGCACTGTGTGGTCTACTGTGCTGTAATTAATTTTGGTGGTTCCTGCACATGTCTGAAATCATAGGAAAAAATAAAAAGGTCTCTACTATAATCTATTCAAAAGTTATTGTATTCCAACTGATGAGAGGTGCTGTACAAGCCACAGGGACCTATCATTGTTCACATATTTCACTATTCTTTTGTTTGATCAAACATAATTCACTGTGTTTTGACCACATCAGACATATAAAAGGATTACTTATGCACATCACCTCAAAAACAGAGGAGAAATGGCCCTGAAGCGCACAGCATAAGGTAAGAGATGACAGCTGTCTGTGCTATCTGGGGCTGCTTATTGATCATAAATGTATTGTTTTCACTTCTGCGCCATGGAAACACTGCGATTCATTCGGCAACTGTTTGATATGTGAATATAATTCAGTAAAAAGAATGCTAGAACCATATGAGCACCGGCAAGAGCTTTCATTTGAGCTATAACTTGTACATGTGTCATTTATGAAAAATATGAAAATTAACCAATGTTTAATACCCAGCTCGGGTATCCAGGATACTGTGTGTTTAAGTGTAAATAACTTTTGTACAGTAGAATAAAAACCAAAGTGATGCATATGAACATAAAATATAGATTCTACACTTTCAAACGAAACCACCCACGGGGGTCTGGTGCAATGCTAGCTTTTTAAATCTTAAAGAGAATATCGATGACGACACGGACCCGGTACCGGGTCTGCAGAGTTTAACTAGTTAATAGGTAAAACTGTCCGAGATATGAACAAAAGCAAGTCAAAGTTTGATTTAAAAAAAAATCTTAAATGAATAATAAAAAATGCTTATAATCATTAAAATAATGTATAAATACAATCAAAATAATTAGTTTAAAAATATTGAACGATATTAATGATATGACGTAGTTCCGGAACTTCCTACTTCTCTGTTTATCCGTCTGATTTTAAAGTTGGTTTCTTTCGACCACCCCCTATCGTTTTAAAGGGCACCTACGGTGAAAAATCTACTTTTCAAGCTGTTTGGACAGACATGTATGTAAGTGTACTGTATAGACCGTCATATTGGGGTGATATAAACACACACAGTCCTTATATTTTTCCATTTTACAACATAACAACGGTGGACCAATTAGAGCGGTTTTCAGACCGACCGCAACTTGACGTAGGAGAGCGATCCCCCCGCCCACCAATATTGATTGACAGCCTCGCGTCACGATCATATCCTCAGTTTGTTGTTTCACGTCTGCCATTTTCAGCGTGTGTGTCAAAGCGATATCACTAAAGGAACACACTCTATTTTTAGATGTAAGGCTCATTGGACTCAACGCAATTTTCTCCACATTATCGCTCTAATCGGAATTATTGCTTGTACCTTTTTTGTGGGTTTGCAAACATGTGTACTTTTCACTGCGTCTACCTTAAACTTCAGCCGTTTTCATTTCTCGCAAACACAGAAGCTCCCTGTGATCTTAGGTGCAGAAGCGAGTTGCGTCATAACAAAGTTGCTTGCAGGTAGCACACCAGAAGCGCCTCTCAGCGTGGCGTCGTGCATTTCTTAGTTCTGGGCGTGGTATTCTGTCAGGGTGCACGCGGTGGAGCTTCGGGTCGGCGGCTAGGCAGCCGCGGCGCCGTTGTGTTTGCCCTGGTGGAGGCCTGTGTTTAGAGTTCTGGAATACATGGCGCTGCGTGGCGCGACGATTCGGGACACTTCATGTTTCTGCTTTGCCACTAAGAGTGTCTGGTGTCACGGCGCATTCAGTGCCTCAGGCCCCGTTTACACTAATGCGTTTTAGTTTGAAAACGCATAAGTTTTGCTACGGTTACGCCAACCGTCCACACTACGCCGGAGTTCTCGAGCGCCGAAATTGGAGCGTTTCGAAAACGCTGGAGAGGCCGTTTTCATTCTGAAACGCTGCTGCTCTGTCTCAGTGTGGATGATGGAAAACGGAGACATCTGAAAACGGAGGCGGCGCTGCAGACATTCGCCTCTCTGATTGGGGCTTTTCCTCAATATTAAGTAGCCTAACACACACAATTCAGTCCTGCATTTTCTCCTTGTAAGTTCAGACTTCGCAAGTTTGATCAAGGCTGCATCTCTTCTTCTTAGTTTGATATGGAAAACAGACTATACCGAGGACACGGGTACATCTTTAAAGGGAACAGTGTACTTTATAACTTCATTCACATCACCCTGGCTACGTTGTTTCACTTTCTCAACAAAATGTAAACATGATTTAAGGAACTGCCTATTTCATTTTGATATTAACAACTTAACAGACAGCAGAAATGTTGAGGCGTCGTGCTGCATATATGAGCGTCATCTTCACTGTGTGGATATTTATAACAAAACGGAGCCGATAACAACTGCCTTCTTTCAATTTCAGTGAAAATACGAAACACACCCTCTCTTGTTGAATATCAGTTTTAATAATCGATAATGGCCATTATAAAAGTATAACATACAATAAGTTTATACATTATAGGAAATAAAGGCAAGCGAGCAGTCAATATACAGAATGTACGTGCTTACATTAATCATTAACTTATCTTTGCGCTCAGCCAAAACACGTTACCTGAGAACAAGTAATAGATTCCAATGACCAAAGTCAGGGAATATGTCGTTAGATAAAGACAACAAGATGAATGAAATAGCCCGTTTAATAAATATAGTGAGATTAGATCCAGCGGGAGATGCTTGATGAGAAGTCCGACTAGCACTGCTCTCATCTGGGTAGATGGGCTGCAGCGCTTGCCAGAGTGTGTCTGTGTGGTCACGTGATGTGCGTTTTCAGCGTTTTGGTGTGGACGGAGAGCAGTTCAGAAACGCTGGGTAAAACGCGAGTGTGGACGCGGATCGTTTTATTTCTAAAACGCCGTTTTAAAACTAAAACGCACTAGTGTAAACGGGGCCTTAGTCGAAGGTAATTCAGTGTGTGTGGTTATTAGTTTTGGTGTACAAGCTCGGCACTTGTACACCGAGACCATACAAAGACACAAATGATTTTGTACTCTCTGCTTAGTCTGTGTCCGAGTCGTACATGTACGGCTGAATGCTGATCTTAACTTCTCTGTCTGCCTATCTATTGCAAACACAGAGCGTGGGAGCTCTTGGCTCCGCCCCCTTGTTACGTTGGGCGGGAAACTAATTTTCATGTGAAGCAACACGCCCCTAAAACAGCGAGCTTTGTACACGCCCACAACATGACACTTTTGAACACATTATAACAAAAACATCTGAGTGTTGAACTGAACCTAAACTGGCG